TTTTTTTTCAAACAGCTATGAATTTTTATAATTTTTACTGTGTAAATTTGTAAATTATTATTGATCTTGTATGACGGTTGATGCGTAATTTGTTGAGACCGAAAAAAATTTCATGCAGTTTAACCCCTGACATTTTAATTCATTTTGAGTTCACGCGTGTTTGTCGGCGGGAAAATCTGAATTCAAATGATTCCTCACTGTCTATTTTTATTATTTCTGGTTTATTTGTCACATTATAAGCAATACATTATTTTTGTTCTACTTCTAGTGTTGCATATTGTTCATTTATTTCCGTTGCATGTTTTCACTTGCCGTTCTATTCCCTGCCGCAGTTCGATCGAACTGCGTGTTGTCAATTTTCGGGAATTTTCGTTTTTTTTGCCGGGGATCTCCTGGCAAACGCCCACTCCTTCTTTTTGGCAATTTTCCATGTTCAAGACCCTGGGCTTATACCCGGATAAATACGGTATATTGATTGTCCATGTTTAACTGTCAATGTTGGGAATTAGGATAGCGAAAAACTTAATTATCAACTTCATTGCATGTTTAAGATGAAGTTTGTTCACACATGGTTCATTTTACGCAGGTAATACTTTCATAGCTTGCCAACATGTTTGAAATGATTCCCATGCAACAGTAACAATGAGTGTAAGATAAATTGCGACGTTTTTAAAACAATAAGGTGATGCATCAAATACGACTTACTTTTCAGTTTCAAAAGGACATTTAGGCATCCAATTGCTGACATGGGTGTCATACTCCACAGTAATAATTCTAGTATGTGGGGCATCTTCCGCTAACCAACTCTGTAACAATTATCATAGCATTGATGAATAAACAAGTGCAATACAGTCCTATATAAAAATAAACACTTTAAGATAGAATCTGAATGACATACGCTGGATGTAGAGGTTTGATACATACCTTTGGCCAGCAGTAAGTCAAGTCCAAGTCTCGTTTCTTGAAATTGTGTATGTCGGCTGGTGCTTCCTCAGTTTCCAGCCTTTCAGGATCTTGTTGTCTCCAAGTTTTAAATGACCCACCTAACAATCCATGTACAAATATTACATCAGCTGCAATAGGTAAGCTGTAATAGATAAATGCTGAATTATAACGCGGATTTTACAATCTTCACGTCTCATCATGAATATTTGATTACTGCAAAACATGTTTAAATAGCTGCATGGCATTTTAAGCGAATTTGACTCCATGCATGAATTAACTGAATCTTAATTTAGCTAAAGTCCCAACAATCTCATTGTGAGAATATACTTTATTTTAAATTAGTGACATCTTGAATAAGCGAAATTACAGATTAGCTAAATTAGCTAAAACAAGTCATTGAAAATGACACAGTCCCCATTAAGTTCTCTTTGTGCTCGTCATATTAAAGCGGAGGGGTTGTCGCGAGCGTGTGCTTGAAACTTGAGTTCCAAGTGGCGTATACAACAGATTGTTTTTTGTTTTTTTTTATTTACATCAAAACACATGTTTCGTGTCATAGTAATATGGCCAAAATAAAAACAGCCGTTATTCAGCCATCTTTGATCTGATTATGAAACACACTGATATGTATGATGTATGTGCCAAATACGAATGAAAATGGTACATAAATTGTGGAAA